ATGATTTAAAATGAAGGCAAATGAGAAGAGCGAGAGAAAGAGAAGTGAAGATCAACAGAATAATGTAACGAGGAAGACCACGAGAGAAGAAAATCACAAGTGCACTTTTCTAGTGCTAAAAACGGTGGTTTACGATGATACTGGTGGGGATGATGCTGGGGATGATAATGCTGTTGAAGTTAAAGGTGGTGAAAGGCACTGGCTCTGTTGATGGCACAAATGATGATGCAAATGCCTGATAGTACAGTAAAAATAAATAAAGGGCAAGGGGGAAAGGAAAGTCAATTGGCTTGCTAATTACGCCGACGGACGTCCAAAGTGCGGTGGTCCATTACTAGCAGTGAGGGGGGAGACGACATGACATCGGCGGTTGATGTCGTAAGGTGATAGTGCCAGTGGAGTTTGCTTGCTGTTTGTTGCTACCACTGTGAAGTAATACAGTAAATGGTGCGCAAACAAGGCGACGATTAAAGTGCGCAAACTGAATTGAAAAGTAGAACAGCAGTGGATGGAAGAGTGAAGTGTACCGAATTGCACACACCGACTTGATTGGTATCACACGCTGCAACTGGCAATAGTGGTAGTAGGTAGGTAAGGACTACAACTTCAAAGGAGAGTCTCCAGAGTCGGTGGTGAGTGAGAGAGAGTAAGGTATATCACAAGCGATTCAGAGGATAACTTGAGTTGGGTGGTTTCTGCAAAAAAAGAAACGGACATGTCGTTAGTAACTGCAAAATCAAAAGTTCAAGCTAAGTTCACTAATTAAACGAAGGTTAATTAGAGCAAAAGCATTGTTTGTACCGCTAGTTGATCACCTTGAGAGCAAAATGTCATTCACAGCAGATGTTTAAGGGCGACCGGAAGTGACATAACATTTAAATGTTGATTAAGTTTTTAATTGGAAAAATATGATGACGAGGGAATACTAGATAAAATGCAGAAAAGCCCTATCAACAGCAGTGGACAACATCATTATCAGCAGCCCACTTCGAACACATAATCGTCTGCTGCTGCTACTGCGGCAGCAGTTGTTCTGATTGACTCTGTCTCTGTGTTGGTGTTGTACCTCGCCGCGATCACCTCTCTCGTTCGTACACAAACAGACACACACAAACAGAATCCCCCAGCACCAGCAGATTCGCCTATAGAACAGATGTACTCGAAAAATGTAAACTGTAGTGTCGTCAGCACAGAACACAAAGCAAAGTAGAGTAGAACTGACTGTGTTTTCTGCTGGTGGTGGTGGTGGATGTGCTGGTAGTGCTGCTGATGATGCTGGGTGACATCAGCACTGCCACCGGCACAGAACACACACACACTAAGAATAGAAAACACACTGCTCATTCGAATCGAGGTGATCGAGGCAACTCGACAGCAGGAGTAGTAGTAGTAATGGTGATGCACTAGCTAGCGCAAAAAAGGGGAAAGACAGCTAAAGCCAAAGCCAAAACACCGTAGATTTCAACCGCAACCAGGCAACTGTGTGAGTACTTTTTCAGCTGAAGTTGTAGTAGCAGTAGCAGCAGTACGACCTCAGTTGTAGCCGCGGCGATGATGAGATGACGATGATGATCAACATCACAGGAGAGAGGTGATGCACAGCAGTACTGTACAGAATTGAGAGTACAAAATAAGAGAGATAAACTTACCCCGCAGGAGCAATGGCTTCTCCGATGCCTCCTCACCGTGGCTGCTGCTTTGTGGCTTCTTTGGGTCTATTCTACCGATTTCCAAGCTGTGTGCTTTTCCAGGCAGCAGCACCAGCAGCCGCTATAATTAGAAATCCGCCGCCGCCGACACCGATGTTGAAGCTGAAGTTGATGTTGATGTTGATATTGAAGAGCACCAGTGTGTGTGTGACTCCTCAGTGGCCCTCGTGAGCACACCGGTGAGGACAACAAACAGAAGTAATAATATTGAAAAGAGGGAACGAGAAGATTGAACTGTCTGTGTCTGTGAGCGTGGCCAGCAGCACCGGCTGTTTGTGCTCAGTGGCCTGTGTGTCGGTGTCAGTGTCAGTGCACTGTGATGAAGGCGGCAAAAACACACACACACACACTGCACTATTCTGCAGTGGTCTCAGTGGTCGTGCTGGTGGTGGTCTGAAGTCACAGTCACCTCTCCAGTGGCAGTACACAGACACAATAGCCGAGTGGGATGGAGAGAGTAGTGGTCAGGAAGAGAAGTGTTTTGGATTTCAGAAGAAGAATCGACGATCTTCAGTGCGTCAGATGATCTTCACATTTTTGTTCAGTCTGAATCAGTGTTCACCACTGTTATCGCCATGATCATGATGATCAGATCATTTGCCGGATCGAAGCTGGCGGATCGTCCTCCGATTTCTTTTGTTGAACACCAAAGTTGTAGCTGTAGTCGGGTTGTTTGTATTAGCAGTAATATTTCCACGGTGACTCGTGACTCTTCACTTCGGTTGGTGTTGGTGTTGGTGCTTTTGGTGTGTTGGGTGCACAAGACAGCATACACACACAAAATACACACAATTAGTAGCGGCGATGTCGGCAGAATTCGCTATATAGTTGGTCTGAAGGACTGAAAACTGAAAAAGAAAGAAAAGAGACAACAAAATGGAGGATAGTGGTGAACAGAACTGTAGCTTAGCTGTATCTTACACTAAGCGAACACTTGAAATCAAAGCTCGTAAACTCTTAAAGCAGCGGCAGTTTTCTTTTTACTTCTATTCAAAACTGGTCTTCTTATCTTGCTTCCTTCAACCACCACCACTGATCGCCCACGGCAAAAACATCTTGAATCAGAGTTGGAGGGGTCAATAACAGCTGCAGCTTAAAAACAAAAACTGGTTCAAAAGTTGGTGATGGTGGTCTACTTTTTTCTAGAAAGCACTACTTTGCAGAGGCGGCAGTAAACCACTGCCGAANTAGAACTGTAGCTTAGCTCTCTATCTAGCACTAAGCGAACACTTGAAATCAAAGCTCGTAAACTCTTGAAGTAGCGGCAGTTTTCTTTTTATTTCCATTCAAAACTGGTCTTCTTATCTTGCTTCCTTCAACCACCACCACTGATCGCCCACGGCAAAAACATCTTGAATCAGAGTTGGAGGGGTCAATAACAGCTGCAGCTTAAAAACAAAAACTGGTTCAAAAGTTGGTGATGGTGGTCTACTTTTTTCTAGAAAGCACTACTTTGCAGAGGCGGCAGTAAACCACTGCCGAAAAAGTGCCGCTGCTGCCACTGTGACTTGTCATGTTTGCCAGTCAAGATTTGACATTTAGTGTACATCGGAAAGAGAAAGATCAATTGCAGAAGCAATTAAATCTTTGCCAGCTTTCCCCGCAAACAGTCAATCACCACTCCAACCAAGTACAAACCTTTGCCGTCTTTGTCTAGCTTTATTTCATTATTGTAGTGATGGAGGTGTGTATGTGTCAGATGGCATCATAGCTTTTATTTTCTATTGATAAGTAAAATATTAAAAGCAAAAAGAGAAAAGAAGAAGGAATTGAATGNACAGTCAATCACCACTCCAACCAAGTACAAACCTTTGCCGTCTTTGTCTAGCTTTATTTCGTTATTGTAGTGATGGAGGTGTGTATGTGTCAGATGGCATCATAGCTTTTATTTTCTATTGATAAGTAAAATATTAAAAGCAAAAAGAGAAAAGAAGAAGGAATTGAATGTGAATGTAAATGTGAATGTGAGGGAGAGAGAGAGAGACGAGAGAGAGCGACAGAAAGTCAACACCAAACGAGAAGGTAGGCTTACAAAAAAATAATAATAAGAGATAAGAATTGTTTTGAAACTGATTTAAAGACGAGTCTGTGTGTGATGGTTAGAGAGAGAGAGAGAGAGAGAGGGTGAGAGAGACAGATAGAAGCACTCGGTATTCGCGTATGGGTTGCGGAAGTGTGTATGGTGGTGTCTGTGTGTTTAAAGGTAGGGAAAGATTTTAGACTTTTTAGAAGGGAAAGGGATTTGAACGTTTTGAAGAATTAGGAAGAATTCAGAGCAACGGGGGCGGCGGCGGCGGCCGGGGCAGCAGCGGCAGAAGGGGCGACGGCGGAGGCTGAGGTCGGCGGAAGCGAGGCTGGCTTTTCGACAGCAGCAGGGGCCGCGGCGGATTTGACTGGAGAGGAAGTTTGCTGGGAGGGGGCGGCAGCTGCGCCAGAAGTGCCCGAAGCCTGGGAGGATGGCTTCACGATGAGCGGAGTAGCGCTCTTGACTGGAGTTGTAGTGATTTGGTTCGAAGCGGAATCGGCCACAGCAGGGGTGGGCTTAGTGGGCGAAGAGAGCGCTGGCTTCTCAGCGGCGGCGGCAGGCTTAGGAGCCTCGGCGGCCTTCACCGGCGTTGAAGGAGCGGGAGCAGCTGCAGTCTTCACCGGAGAAGCAGTTGCGACTGGTTTGCTGCTGCTGGCGGCGGTGGTTGACTCTGCTTCCTTCTTCAGAGACGATTGCTGAGCAGCTGGGGCCGCCTTCGGAGCTTCCTTCTTCTGCGGCGATTGCAGTTGCGGCGTAGCAGCAGCGGCAGCTTTAGGAGCTTCCTGCTCGCCGGCTTTCTTTACCGGTGAAGCCGAGGCGGCGGCGGTGGCAGCGGGAACAGTCTTTGAGACGCTAGCGCCGTCCACTACATCTGTCTTCTTTTCGGCCTTGGCGGCAGCAGTCGCAGCTGCTGGCACCGGCAAGGTCTTCTTCTTATCCTCCTTAGGCTTCGAGGTGGTGGACGTTACCTCGGCGTCGGCAACAGCTTCCTCTTCAGCAGCAGGCTCGGCCACTGCGGGATCCTCGCTGGTACTGCCGCTCTTGGGCGGGCGGCCTCGACGACCCTTGGCAGCGCTGGCGCCGCCATTCGACTTTGCCACCGTCTCCTTGGCCTTCTTTGCTGGAGTGGGAGTCGCCGCCGACGAGGTCGATGAGGAAGGCGGAGTGCCACGAGTCTGAGAGCGAGTGGTTCGTCGATTAGTGTCAGTGCCCGGAGGGGTGGCAATGACTAGCGAAGTGTCGGCCAGCTCGCTGGGACGCTTGCGAGCTCCTCGGGAGCCTCGGCCGCTGGCCGGAGTCTCGGCGGCGGCAGCCTTCTGAAAAAATAAAAATGTGGTTAGGCAAACCGTGACTGTGATAACTGCGGCAAGCAATCAACTAGGTCGCCAGCTTACAGGGTCAGCGTTGTTGGTGGCGACAGTTGTTGAGGCGGCGGGTGTGGCATCACTCGATGCGACGATATTGTTCGTCTCCGCGGCGGGAGTGGTGGACTTTGCACCTTCTGACATTGTTGATGTGGTAGTGTTGGCGGCGGTGGTATATGATGATGATAACAGAAGAGCACACGCACAGAAGATACACACGAGGAGTGGGAGAGAGTGAGAGAGCCGCCAAAATGGCTGGGGATGAGAGGGAGATGTAAGCACTGCGCGAGGATGTCTTTTCCTTCACTACACAACTTCGCTCTAGTGCGCGATGGTCGATGCTATCGATTGTGGGACTATCGATGTCAGTGGAGAGAGAGCAGCTCAAGACAAGGCAAAGGAGCTGTTTGGCGCCTGAAACTGAGTCTCGGAGATTGAACTGGGGAGGAAAAAGGTGAAGACAGGTTAGATGGCGGTCAGGAGGTGGTAGATTTGAGGTAGTCGAATCGAAATGAGGTGCGGGAGGCGGTGGGAGAGGGTGAAAAGCGGCGTCACAGCATGAGTTTGTTGTAACCAGGATTGGCAGCCAGTCAGAGAATGACAGGGCACAGCGGCGTGACGTGACTTTGCTCGTGGCAGTGTCAGCGGCGGACTTACCGAATGAAGGTGGAACGTATCGAGTACAGATTGTTCGGGCGGTGATGGCGCGGACACGACCGATGGGCGTCAAGCAGTGAGGTCTGCGGACAGCGATGTGAACTGGTAGTCTGATGCAAACGCACAACCGACGCGATTGACTCGATCGGCGAGAGACGAGAGCGAGTGAGAGTAAAAAAGGCGCAAGTAGGGATGAATGAAGCCGCTGCCGCTACACACACAATGCCAAAGCACAGCGCTGCTCTGAGGATCAGAGCATGTCCAGCCGCTGCAGAGACTCCTTACGCTGCGCCAGTGGCGCGCCTTTTCTAGAAAGTGGGCGGGTCTTAGGCTTTAGATTTGTAAAGAGAAGGCAGGTAAGCCCGCCCACTTGCTTAAAATGAGCTCACTACTCGCGCTCCCTACAGCACAAGGATGCCATCTTTCGGAACGAGTGACAAAGCAAATGGAAAATAGAGGCACGAGGATCATGGATCCACGACGTGGATACTCGCCCTGGATTCTCCCTCGCTTTTGATGGATGTCAACAGCAGCAACAGCAGTAGTGGTAGGATCGAGGAGGCGATCATTCCGCGCGCCAATCACCAGTACCTGGATGCGGCCTTCTGGGAGGAAAGGTACGCTGCAGCTGCAGAGGATGACGGCAGCTCAAAGCAGAGTACACGAGAGTGGCTCGGCGATTACTCTCTCTTTGCGGAGCACTTTCGAAGTGAGGTGCCAAACAAGGGGGCGTCCATCTTGATCTTAGGTCAGTAGAGTGATGGTGACTACACTGTTGAGTGAAACAGGTAAGTATGCGCTTTGAATGACCGCTTCAGTTGACCATCTCTTGATTCGATTGTTTTGCACGCCTTTTGTACAGGATGCGGCAATAGTCTACTCGGTGAGCAGCTCTTCGAAGATGGCTACCAAAATGTGACCAACATTGACATCAGCGAGTCGGTGATCAGGCAGATGGCCACCCACTGTGAGAACTGCGCCCAGCTACGGTGGGCTGTAGCAGACTGTCGGGATCTAAAGGACTTTACTGACGGACAATTTGATGTGGTCATCGAGAAGGCCACCATCGAGGTCTTCTTCGTCGCCGAGTCGCAAGGAGCACTCTGGTCGGCGGACTCTATTGGCGGTGAAGCCATGGAGAGCGTTCGGAGAATGGCCGATGAGATTGTGCGTGTTTTGAGGCCTTCCAACGGACAGTTCTTTTCCATCTCCTTTACGGCGCCCCATTTTAGAAAGAATCTTTTTGCGAAGATGTTTGCCTGCTCTGATGATGATGCTGGTAGCTCTGAGCCCTCCATGAAGATCGTCAATGTACACTCTCTCGGTGACCACTTTCACTTCTACCTCTATCATCTGGTAAACGATCAAAGCCGACAGCCGGTGGATATCTTCTCCTATGAGCCGCCAAAAATGACTCTACTTCAGAGGACTTCAGCAGTGCTCAAGGAGGATGATGATGATCATCTGCAACAAACAGACCATTTTCTCTTTTCAATATCTCCATAAAATATAAAGAATCGTTAAAGAGAAGCTGATTTCTGATTTCTAAAGTCCCAAAGGATTCTTTTTGCGCGTGCAACAGAAATTCTGTTTTGACGATACCTGCCACTCAAGTGTGTGCATATAGCCGACTCACGTGAGAATCACAACAACAAAACACAGTTTTCAAGCCGGTGTCAAGAATCTCCATCGTGAATCCATTCCCTGGTCTGACTATCGAAATCACCTACTTACCACAATGTCCACGTGGGGCCAAATTCAGCAGCAGCTTCGGCACCCTTCCAATCCGGTGGTCTTCTTCGACATCACCATCGGCAACACCGAGATCGGCCGCATGAAGATGGAACTATTTTCTGATGTAGTGCCAAAGACGGCTGAAAACTTTCGGTATGAGCTGACGGATTTGGCTGATGATTATAAACTTGTACTTACCTTGATCTTCAACTCTGCACAGGCAATTCTGTACCGGCGAGTACAAGAGAGATGGTGTACCAATTGGCTATAAGGGCGTCTCCTTTCACCGCATAATAAAGGACTTCATGTGCCAGGTAAACAATTTGACAACACTTGTATCACAAATCACTTACCCCCTTTAACCAAATTCGGCGCAGGGTGGAGATTTCGTCAATGTAAGTAAAGATGTTTGCTTTGATGATGACATTGCTATAAAGAGCTGTTTTTGTTTCTACAGCACGACGGCACTGGTCTGATGTCGATCTTTGGTGGTGGCAAGTTTCCCGATGAGAACTTTCAGCTGAAGCACGACCAGCCAGGACTGCTGTCAATGGTAAACTGAGAGAGAGGTCTGAGTTTTTGCTGTGCTCTAACATTTTTTTCTATCTTTTATCTTTACCATCGCCAGGCGAACAGTGGCGCCGATACCAACGGTTGTCAGTTTTTCATCACCTGCGCAAAGTGCGACTTTCTCGATGGCAAACATGTGGTCTTCGGCCGAGTCATCGACGGCATGCTGGTCGTACGAAAAATAGAGAACGTGCCCACTGGTCCCTCAAACAAGCCGAAGATACCGGTTATCATCTCGCAATGTGGTGAAATGTGAACAACGTCTGACTCGAGAGACCCCTGCTTTTCCTCTTTCCCGCATCAAGTACTTTAATGGTGCATTTCAACTGTACAAATAACATCATCGTATTAAACTTTGCTTATTCCATTCATTTTCGTGCTAAAGTTCAAACAATTTCGGGCCCTCTTTTACAGAGACAATTTTTGACAGCCCATCAGAAACATGGCACTACCTATGGATAAAATCAGAAACTAGAAATTCGAAAATTCGAAGACAAAAATGTTCAAAAACTTTTATTAAAACTTATCAAAGTCTGTCGGCGACTGTGTGTCGACAACAAAAGGGGAAGGGATNTATTTTCTGTGCTAAAGTTCAAACAATTTCGGGCCCTCTTTTACAGAGACAATTTTCGACAGCCCATCAGAAACATGGCACTACCTATGGATAAAATCAGAAACTAGAAATTCGAAAATTCGAAGACAAAAATGTTCAAAAACTTTTATTAAAACTTATCAAAGTCTGTCGGCGACTGTGTGTCGACAACAAAAGGGGAAGGGATTCTTTATTATGTACAAAATTCAGAGTTTGTGGTGCGTGATTTGGGGAAAAGGGGGCGTGTTTGTGTACAAAAAGAGAAGGGGTATGCGTGAAAAAACAGTACAAAACAGGTGGTGAAAAAGCGGAGGTAAGAAAGGAGAAGGGGGAGGAGGGGGTGCTCAATGTACAGGGAAGATAGATACTCTACAATCGCTCATGTTCACCTNCTGTGTACAAAAAGAGAGGGGGTATGCATGAAAAACAGTACAAAACAGGTGGTGAAAAAGCGGAGGTAAGAAAGGAGGGGGAGGAGGTTGATGCTCAATGTACAGGGAAGATAGATACTCTACAATCGCTCATGTTCACCTCCATTGCCACCACCGCTGAGGGCATTCTTTGCGAGGATGGCATTCTGTCGTGCCTGGTTCTGCTTTACTGCTCGNCATTCTGTCGTGCCTGGTTTTGTTTTACGGCTCGATTACCTCCTGCTCCAATGTACGTCGAAGGTGGGGTCAATTTGGAGGCAAAAAGGCCGTTGTGGCCATTTTGCTCAAGTTTTCCTCGAGCTGCTGCAGCTGGTGAGCCTCTCGTGGCTGGCGCCGGAATAAAGGTGGGCACTCGACAGGGCGTCGAAGGTGAGGAAGATGTTCCTGAAGTGACAGTGGTGGTGGTGGTGGAGTTGTTTATGGCCGCCAGGAGTTTCCCAGTGGCCGCGAAACGAGGTTGGGGAGGTGTTTTTGCAGTGCTGCTGCCATTTGGAAGGGCTGTTTTGGTTGGTGTTGCCGCTGTTGCTCCAGTTGATCGGTTCCAAAGTGATCCTAGCTCCACGATTCGATCACCACCACTTCCATTATTGCCATTTAGCGCTGACTTTGGTCCCAGCTGAAAGTTGTCAGCTTTGGCACCGGCAGCAGCAGTGTTGGCAGCAGACCTTGAGTTGGCAGCCTGCTGAGCCTGAGCAAGTTTCTTCTTCTTTGATTTGAGCTCTTTGATAGAAATGTTGGTGGCGTGGGTGGTCGTTGTTGTCGCCGAGTTGGCATGATTTGCTGCTCGAGGAATGGCCGAAGAGGGGTTGGCTGAGTTAGAGAAGGAAGATGATGATGGCACTGCTCGGTTCGGCTGATTTCGAGGCTGCTTTTTGTTGTACAGTCCGCCACCACTCCTCGAGGTTGGCTGTTGTTGCTGCTGCTGTTCCCTTTTCACAAAAGTCACTGCAGACGATGATGTTGACGACGATTTGGATGGCGTCGATGAGGCACTGCCTGACTTAGAAGACGATGATGAACTGTTCACTGTCGTGTGATCTGAAGAGTTGCCACTGCCACCGCTTCCACCAGCACCTTCCCCATCACCGCAGTTGGCCATCGTCGAGATGATGCTCAGCAGATTGTCCTCACTGGTGCTAATGCGCCGAGAAAGGCGGTACGACAGCAGACCTGAGTCCTCAAACTGATCCACATTGTGATGAACCTGGTAATTGTGGTCTTCACCTTCTTCGTCCTCCTCAATCAGCTCCATCTCCCCTCCGTGGTTGTTCATATGATCTCCTTTTCCAGAGGACATTTGGCTAGTGAGGATTCGCTGGCGCAGCTCATACGCCGTCGAAAATGACTGCCGCCGATTGACCTTTGGCCGCTGTCGATGGCCACTGCCACTGCCGCCTTTGCTCTTTCCCTTGCCGCCCTTGCCGCTGGAATTGCCGCCAGATGCCTCATTGAGGATGAAGCGATTGTAGTACATAGCCGCCATTGAAAGCGTGTTCGGCGACAGAAGCTGCTCCTGCTCCTGCTGTTGGCCACTGTTTTCATTTTCAAGTTGAAGTTCAACAGTTGGAGCTGTTGCCGCTGCTTCTGCTGCTGTTTTAGTCGTTAACTTAGGTGGTACTTTGGCACTCGAATTAGTGGTAGATTTCTGTTTGCTAGTCCGACGGCCTAGCGTCGTCGACTCGACTTCAGAAGTGGGCGACTGCTCCTCAGAAGTGGGCGAGGAGACAAAGGTAAACTCAAAGTCCTGATTGGCACAAGTGGTGAAGGAGGAAAAGGTGGAGGAGGAGGAGGCCTCACTGAGCATTGACACGCGGTCTTCCTCAATGTCACCGTCGTCGTCATCGTCACCCTCCTCTTCTGCATCTCCTTCTTCATTTCTTCCTTCTTCATCTTCTTCATCATTATCATTATCACCACCAGTCAGTGTGTCCTGACTGGCGGATCGCTTCGCCAGCCTCTGCTGCTCTTCAGCTGCCGTTTCTGAGCTTTTTACGGGCAGCAGCTGTGCCACCTCTTCGTAAATGTCTTCTCCCGAGTCCTTTCGACACTCCTCATCGCCGCCAGAGCTTCCGCTGCTCTGCGGACTGCTTCCAGTACTGCCGGCAGACTGAGATGGTCTTTGTTGATGTTGTGGCTCATTGCTGGAGTTTTTTGAGTTGAAGAAGGTGCTCATCTGTGGTACTATCGCTGGACCACATTGAAGATCCCCACCCTCTCTAAAAGAGCTCAGCTGACAGTTGTCTGGCAGCGTAGAGCGGGCGCTAAAAGAGCCTGAAGAGCAGAGCTGTTGGCTACCTCTTGAGCTCTGAGCTCCATTTTGCTCCGCTTCCTCCTCTTCCTCCTCTTCTTCCTCTTCAGGAAGCGAAGCGTAAATGTGCTCTTCTTCAGCAGCTTCATCATGGTGTTTTCCTCTCAGTTCTGGAATAAAACAAAATCAGTGAATAAAAAGTCACAAAAAAGTCTTTCAATGAAACAAACCATTTGACTTTACTCGTGGCGATCCGCTATAGCCGCCAACCTCCGAGTTCATCAAGCCACTAAATCCACCAGGCCGCATCAACAGATGATTGTGATAGTCGCCCAGCGCCTCAGCCACACTGCTCAGCTGATTGCAGGAGTTGGATCGGGCTCCCAGCAGTTCTAGGTGGCTCGTATTGGGCAGGTAAACGTGCGAGTTGGCCAACATGGCCGGCGACTGTTGGCTAAAGTCGTAAGAGAGGTGCCTGGCCGGCAGATTTGTTGCCAGCATTCTTGGCGAGGACGTCTGCTGCTGATGATGATGAAATTCATTCTGATCCTCGAGCAGTGTCGTTTGGCTGCCAAACAGCGCAGAACCGCCATTAACGCCTTGATTCATCAGCCCGGTTGCCTTTTTCGTGTAAAAGTTGTTGTAGAGAATGCTCGACAGCTGACTCTGGGCAATTTGCGAGCGCTTCAAGTGCTGCTGCTGTTGGTGCTGATGAGTCCGCTTGGTGGCCTGAAAGAAGGTCGAAGCATCAGAGCCGCTCTTCCGAACTGATCGCCGTTTAAAACTGGACCGAGCTGCAGAGATGAGTCCACTTCCGAGGTAGTCACCTCCTTTGCCTAAGCGAGGCGGTGGACTGCCNGGAGCCGCTCTTCCGAACTGATCGCCGTTTGAAACTAGACCGAGCTGCAGAGATGAGGCCACTTCCGAGGTAGTCACCTCCTTTGCCTAAGCGAGGCGGTGGACTGCCTGCAGAGCACTTTGCAGCCGGAGAAGAGCGACCAGCGGGCTCTGAGATTTGGCGAGAAAGAGGAGGTGGCAGAGGACCTTGGCTGCTGTTGTTGTTGCTCTTTGCCTCCCCCACCATTTCATGGCCCTCCTGAATCTCCTTTAGCTGCTGCTGGTGAAGCTGGTGATGGCCTGCAGTAGCCATCATCATCATTGGCGGGGTGTAATTGGCAGAAGAGAGCGGCAACGGCAGAGGAGGAGCTGCACAATGGTTCAGTGTCGTCTCTGACTTGGATGGCACGACGCCGCCAAAAAGGTACTGCGGCGGCGGAGGAAATCTGCTGTTGTTATTGTTTTGATTTTGATTTTGGCTCTGCTGATGCTGAAGCTGACTCAGATTCTGTTTGCTGCTGCTGATGTGGTTGGCAGTTGAGGGAGAGGAAGAGAGCAAGTAGTGATAAGAGGCCACCGAGGGCGGTCGTCGACGAAAGGAGGACCTCGGTGTGGGCGAGTTGGTGTTGGAGTTGCTACCGCCCCCGCCGCCGAAAAGCGGTGGCAAGTGCTGCAGCAGTGCCAGCGAGTGCCTCGACCGTGAGGCGCCATGCTGTTGCTGCTGTTGATAATGAGGATGAGGATGGTGATAGGGCGTGCCGCCATTGCTTCGGCTCAAGTCGAGCATCGATGTCGCATGGCCTGGCTTTGCTGAAGACGAGGAAAGGTGGTGAAGGTGGGGATGATCGTGGAGGGGGTGATGGTGGGCATTGTGCAGGTTCAGACGGCTCGAAAAGTGGTGGCTCGATTTCAACTTATCGACTGTGTTGGAGAAAACATGGATATCAAGTTAGGTTTCAGGCAATTCATGAAGTTAAAAATCAGACTTACCACTTTTGGAGAGGTCCAACTCTGACTGGTAATCAGAGAGGCCGAGTGCATTCGACTTGGTCGGCGGCGAGTGCAAATAGGGCGGACTGAGGGCAGAGGGGGCAAAAGCCGACTTTCCACCTCGCAAACCTCCAATCTCCCCAAAAGCCATTGAGGGA